GGTATGGATTATAAAATATATTTAGAAAGATAAAGGTAGTGAATGACACTGTTTTATTTTGTTTTACTAACAAGTACCATAAACTGGGTAGCTTAAACAACAGAAATATATTTTCTTGCAGTTCTGGAGCCTATAAATTAAAATTAAGGCAAGGCAGGTTTGGTGTTATTCTGCAGTCTCTCTCATTGCCTTTCAAATGACCCTATGTCTTCACATTGTGCTTCCTCTGTGTGTATTTGTGTTCTAGTCAACTTGCCTTATACAAATGTCAGTAACCTTAGAATAGAGCCCATACAAATGACCTCATTTTACATTAGTTACTACTTTAAAGGCCCTATCTCCAAATACAGTCACAGACTGAGGTACTTAAGACTTCAACATAAAAATATTGAGGGGACACAATTCAGCCCGTAAAACAAGCTGTATCACTTAGCTATTGCTGGATAGCAAGGCATCTCAAAAAACAAGCACTTATTATCAGACAACTATCTACAGTTTGCTTGGCTGAGGATGGGTTTGGCTTGACAGTTCTCACTGCAAATCTGTAGTCACCTTTGCATAAGGCTGCAGAAGTTGGGGTGAGTTTGGTTCCAGATTTCTCTCATCCTTTTCTTGGGGTAATGAGTCTAGAAGAAAAATGGTCTTCTGGCTGAGGAACATACAGGAGAAGGAAAGTAGGAAAACACGAGACTCCTCAGGCTTAAGATGAACTGGTAAATTGTCGCTTCCATCCATTTACTATTGGCCAAAGCAAGTCACATGACATACCCCCAAAACTAGGGCAACTATACTTCGTCTATGATGAAGAGATAGGGTAAAGAATTGAGAACACTATTGCCATTTAGCCAAAAGCCTTTATAGTTTGTAAATCATGCTTTGCCAAGTCAAGAAAGCTGAATTCCATCATTAAATAAAAAGATAAAATGGTATGTATAAATGAAGGCAAAATACAAAGATCACACTGTAAATAAACACGGAGTGGAATTAAGCAGGGACCGGGACAATTGCTGTAAATGGATTCATATAGCAGAGATGCAAGTTGGATATTTACATATTCAAGAAGGATTTCTGTAATTAATGATACTGGATTTGGGGAGGATGGGAAAGCACTGTTATGGTGGCGGACACTTGTAATCCCAGCTACTTGGGAGGCTGAGGCAAGAGAATTACTTGAACCCAAGAGTCAGAGGCTGCAGTGAGCTGAGATCATGCCATTCACTCCAGCCTAGGCAAGAAGAGCGAAACTCTGTCTCAAAAAACAAAACAAACAAACAAAGTGAGTTTCAGACTGGTTAAATAAAGTTCCTGAGCTTATAGAGCTTTGAAATGCTACAGTGTGGCTACAAATCCACTTTCTCTGCTCCTGATTACTAGGCTCTTACCAAATCTACCTAATAAGTGTGCAGACCCTGCAGTGAAGAATAACTGCGCTGTGAAAAGGAACAGTACTTTATTATGAAATGATACTGTATTATCCATAAGTTATTTTGAAATGATAAAATGTTAAATGACTTCAAGAGTAGTCAATGCAAATTTAGTTACAGCAACATTTACCAACACAGAGGGTTGGTATCTCATCATCTATTTATGGCAATTTTCTTTGGAGTGTAAATAATGCACAGATGTTAAGGATCATCACCTACCTATAGTCTGTAAATCCAAATGAAAGGACAGAGTTGTCACTTTGATCTTAACAGAAGGCAGAAATGTCATGCTGTTCAGCATCCAACCCTTCATTGGTTAAAATGTCACTTTGTCTATAGAGGCAAAATATTTATTGCCTCTATAATCCACATATTATATGAAACCCAAAATTTTCCTTGAGCTGATATAATTAAATGTTTACTTAGAAATACACCATATAAATTGTTGATGCTAATAATCATTTTCTTTTTAATGTGTATCTGAAACATTTAAAAGAAGAGTCATTTGTTGGAAAATCCTACAAACATTTTCAGGCTTTTCACCGCTTCTAAAATGTTGGCATTTTGATATAAAACTTTTTTATCCCCAAGAGGGAAATGAAAAAGGATATGTTTGAGTGCCTTACTTAGTAGACAGATAAATCTAATTAGCATTAAATTAGACTACAGTATCAGGGTTAGCCATATGTGTATTTCAGTTTAATTGGAGAAAACTATAGAGTTCATTAATCAAATCACTATGCAATATACACAAAATGTTGCAAATGGCAAAGGCTTGCAAATGCAAATACCAGAAATCATGGATCTATACCTCAAATACAGAAATTGCTTTTATTCAACATATTTTTCACTAGTTTGAGTGTCCATAGCTTAATGTGAATTATATTTAATGACACAGGGCTACTAACAGTTTAAACATGATTCAAATAATAAATTTAAGCCATTTTGAATGTAATTTTAATGTTTGATAGATAAAGATTCAGATATGCCAATAAATTAATCTTTAGTTCTTCATTAGTTTAACAAGATTTGTACAAATGGACTTCATAGGCTGTGTTGGGATCTTAAGGAGAATAAGGGTGTATGGAAGATGATTGTTGTTTCTATACGTTATTTCTCCTTCCCTCTCTGCTACCCTTTGCCTTAGCTCAGTGCATAGCCCCAAGCAAGAATTATGATTTTTTAAACCAGCTATGACACTCTTATCCCTTCTGTCATATTGGTAACTTTTCCACCCCCTCCTGCAACCATGATGTCCCACTGAGCACGCTCTAACCAATGCAGTGTAAAAGCATCAATGCTTGTGTGATTCAGGGGATGAAACATGCTTCTTATTAAAAAAAAAAGTGAGGGACAACCAGAGAATGGAAAGGTTCTTATTCATATGCCTCTTTTTCTGCTTGGGAAGTTGAAGATTTCTATAACTTTCATGAGACTATATTTCCCAGACATTGGAATCCAAAGCAAGGGACTACAGAGTGATTCGACAGAGCATAATTGGGAATCAAATTAAAAATCTGGCATCTAACACCAGCTAAGATTTGAATTTGAAAAGGTCTTTTTGCCTGGATTTGTCACTTGTGATTAAATATACCTAAAAGAGTGAATACTTTGAGCATAAATCAAATAAACCTGCCACTGTTTGTTAAAGGCTGGGGAGGGATAACTTGGGGAAAAACGCTAGATTTAGGTGATGGGAGGATGGAGGCAGCAAACCACCTTGCCATGTGTGTACCTATGCAACAATCCTGCATGATCTGCACATGTACCCCAGAACCTAAAGTACAATTTTAAAAAAAGAAAGAAAAGGGTAATATATTCAGGAATAAATATTCAAGATATATATATTTTTAAATACAAAGATTACTAGTTAACGATTTATCATATGGAATTTAACACAAATATCTTGTGGCTATGTGAATTTGAAATATGTATAATTTAAACTGGATATTTAAACTGTATATTTGTAGGAAAAATATACAATATACTTTCAGAAGACTCACTATACTTGTTCAAACACTGTCAACACATATAGTGATTTCTAAATGGGTGAGAAAGAACATCCTAACAAAATAAACAAAAAAGCTTAAATGAGTCAAAATGCATTAATGAGCAGAGTTACAATTTAACGGCAAACTGTCTTTAGGTTTTCAGTTTATTAAAGATAGAATATTTGGCATTATTTTTAGTTTTTATTTAGATATAATAACCCTAAGCATGAAAAGATCTGCTTTCCTTTAACCTAAAGAAACCACATAATTTTTTTTGATTGTTTGTTTGTTTTGTAATATTATCCTGAGAAAGAAAACTAAAAATTAAGGACTCCAATTCACTATTCCAAAAGGAAAAAAAATAAGGTGAAAACTGAGTTTTGCTGCAACTTTCTTTTTGTTCCTAAGCAGATACCTACAGATAAAAAGTTAAGTATTCCCAAAGGTAGCTACTCTCTGTTCATCTTATGTAAAGTGCTGATTTACTGAGTGAGCATGAGCTGACTATTTCCTTATTTGCTTCTTTGATCTTGCAACTTGTGGATTACAATACCCCCACTCTTTCCCCTCCAGCCCATTTTCCCTCTTAAATATTGAAGCCCTCAAATTCATCTTTAGAGAAAGGCGAAGACCTCAGACTGCTTCTCTGATTTTTTTTTTTTTTTTTCCCTTCTGGGCATGCCCTTAACCTTGGCAAAATAAACTTCTAAATTGATTGAGACCTGTCTCAGATACTTTTGGGCTTACAATCCTAATGTAACCTGTCTGGATCCATGGTTCTTTCTAAAATGTGGTCATTTGTTATTTGAACAGTATGATTCTAAAGAGCAATCTATTATTTTTTTCCTAGAATTTCTTGATTATTTCCACAACAATATTTGTCCTTATGAGTTAAGCCTGATATGTTTTCAGGATTAAGTCTCATTTAACTTTGTCCTATGTTTGTATTATATCTTTTAATAGGACTGAAAAATTAAATTGCATTTATATAAAATGGATAATTTTCTTTACTATGTGAAGTGTGTGTTGAATATGATGATTCAGATTTTTAAAACAAAACAACAACAAAACAGTTTCTAAAATGTTTTTTCTTGTGAAAAGTTTGCCAACCAATAATGGTATTCACTTATAAAATTAGTTAATTCCAAAACAATTTGCTAGCACTTGTTTTAGGTTGTCCTAAGTATATGGCCAGAATTTGAATTTATACCTATGGCCTCAGATTCTCCTACTAAGTTACAGAAGAAGGTAAATAAGGAAGTCATCAATGAAGAAATTGAAATTACTAGAATTGCTTCCAAATTCATATTTAGACTCTTTTCTCAGCAGATAAAGTTAGGCTGCCAAAGGCCCAAAGGGTTTCTTTAGGTCCTTCTATGACAGTGCCAGTTTGAAGGCGTGTACCTTTTTCCTGGGGAACTCTTTTCCATATACCAGGACATGTTTATCCTTTTTCCCTATACCAAGGAAATGTATTCACTACATTTGCTTATTTTTTATTTTTCACTACTCAACTCCTCGTATTTGGAAAAATAATGATTCTGAGAATTACATTATAACATTTACTAGGTTATCTCCCATCCAGCAGGTTACACTGGGAATCCTGAAAACAATGAAGGTACAGATGTGTCATGGTTTGTGAGATGTGAGCTCAGGTATTTATCTGGGGAATTAATAAAATAACATTTTTTCTAGAAGATATTGTGGTAAAATGATTAGTAATTATTTTTAAACTACATACAAGATGTAAACTACATTTCTACTTTACAATGTAAAATAAGTAAGCACAGATCTTATCCTACCAGTGACTTCCATTTACTATTTTTATTTGCTTCATTGGAAGCATTTTATTTATTTTTGAAATTATTATTTTTTTTATTTTACTTTAAGTTTTGGGGTACAAGTGCAGATCTAGGAGGATTGTTACATAAGCAAACACATGCCATGTGGTTTGCTGCCTACATCCCCCCTCACCAACATTAGATACTTCTCCTAATGTTACCCCTCCCTAATCTTCCCACCCCCTATTATTCCTCCCCAACCCCCCCAAAACACCCCAGTGTGTAATGTTCCCTTCCCTGTGTCCATGTGTTCTCATTGTTCAACACCCACTTATGAGTGAGAACATGCTGTGTTTGGTTATCTGTTCTTGTGTCAGTTTGCTGAGAATGATGGTTTCCAGATTCATTCATGTCTCTGTAAGGGACATTAACTCATCCGTTTTTATGGTTGCACAGTGTTCCATGGTGTATATGTGCCACATTTTCTTTATACAGCCTATTGTTGATGGGCATTTGGGTGGTTCCAAGTCTTTACTATTATAAACAGTGCCACAATGAACATATGTGTGCATGTGTATTTATAATAGAACAATTTATATCTTTTGGGTATATACCCAGTAATGGGATTGCTGGGTCAAATGCTATTTCTATTTCTAGATCCCTGAAGAATAATTACACTGTCTTCCATAATGGTTGAACTAATTTATAGTCCCACCAACAGTGTAAAAGTGTTCCTATTTCTTCACATCTTCTCCAGCATCAGTTGTCTCGAGATTTTTTAATGATTGCTATTCTAACTGGAGTGAGATGGTATCTCAGCGTGGTTTTGATTTGCATTTCTCTAATGACCAGTGATGATGAGTATTTTTTCATGTTTGTTGGCCTCATTAATGTCTTTTTTTAAAAAGTGTCTGCTCATATCTTTCACCCACTTTTTGATGAGGTTGGTTGTTTTTTTCTTGTAAATCTGTTTTAGTTCTTTGTAGATTCTGGATATTAGCCCCTTGTCAGATGGGTAGATTGCAAAATTTTTTTTCCCATTCTGTTGGTGGCCAGTTCACTCTAATGACTGTTTCTTTTGCTGTGCAGAAGCTCTTAAATTTAATTAGATCCCATTTGTCTATTTTGGCTTTTGTTGTCATTGTTTTTGGTGTTTTAGTCATGAAGCCCTTGCCTATGCCCATGTCCTGAATGGTATTGCCTAAGTTTTCTTCTAGAGTTTTCATGGTGTTAGGTCTTATGTTTAAATGTGTTTAAATCTTTAATTCATCTGGAGTTGATTTTTGTATAAGGTGTAAGGAATGGGTGGAGTTTTAACTTTCTGCACATGGCTAGCCAATTTTCCCAACACCATTTATTAAACAGGGAATCCTTTTCCCATTGCTTGTTTTTGTCCAGTTTGTCAAAGATCAGATGGTTGTAGATGTGTGGCATTAGTTCTGTAACAGAGATATACACCAATGGAACAGAACAGAGACCTCTGTTCTGGTACCAGAACCATGCTGGTACCAGTTTTGGTACCAGTACCATGCTGTTTTGATTACAGTAGCATTATAGTACGGTTTGAAGTCAGGTAGCATGATGCTTTCAGCTTTGTTCTTTTTGCTTAGGATTGTCTTGGCTATGCGGGCTTGTTTTCATATGAAGTTTAAGGTGGCTTTTTCCGGTTCTGTTAAGAAGGTTAAGGGCATCTTGATGGGGATAGCATTGAATTTGTAAATTACTTTTGGCAGTATTGCCATTTTCACAATAATGATTGTTCCTAACCACGAGCATGGAATGTTTTTCCATCTGTTTGTGTCGTCCCTTATTTCCTTGAGCAGTAGTTTGTAGTTCTCCTTGAAGAGTTCCTTTATGTCCCTTGTTAGTTGTATTCCTAGGTATTTCGTTCTCTTTGTAGCAATTGTGAATGGGAGTTTGTTCATGATTTTGCTGTTTGTCTGTTATTGGTGTTCAGGAATGTTTGTGATTTTTGCACATTGACTTTGTATCCTGAGACTTTGCTGAGGTTGCTTATCAGGTTAAGGAGATTTTGGGCTGAGATGATGGAGTCTCCAAAATATATAATCATGTCATCTTCAAATAGAGACAATTTGACTTTTTTTCTCATTGAATACTCTTATTTCTTTTTCTTGCCTGATTGCTCTGGCTAGAATTTCCAATACTGTGTTGAATAGAAATGGTGAGAGTGGGCAGTCTTGTCTAATGCCAGTTTTCAAAGGGAATGCTTCCAGTTTTTTTGCCCATTTGGTATGCTATTGGCTGTGGGTTTGTCATAAATAGCTTTTATTATTTTGAGATATGTTCCATCGATATCTAGTTTATTAAGAGTTTTTATCATAAAGGGCTGTTGAATTTTGTCGAAGGCCTTCTCTGCATCTTTGAGATAATCACGTGGTTTTTGTCTTTGCTTCTATTATGTGACAGGTTATGCTTTTAGATCTGCCTATGTTGAACCAGCCCTGCCTCCAAGGGATGAAGCCTACTTGATTGTGATAGATAAGTTTTTTGATGTCCTGCTGCATTTGGTTTGCCAGTATTTTATTAAAGATTTTTGTAACAATGTTCATCATAGATATTGGCCTGAAATTTTTTTTTAGTTGTGTCTCTGCCAGGTTTTGGTATCAGGATGATGTTGGTCTCATAAAATGAGTTAAGGAGGATTCCCTCCTTTTGTATAGTTTGGAATAGTTTCAGAAGGAATGGTACTAGCTCCTTTTGTGTGTGTGTGTGTGTGTGTGTGTGTGTGTGTGTGTGTGAGCGCGCACAGATGTGCAATTTAGAAGAATACAGGAGAATTAATAGATAAAATGCTCCATATTCCTTATAACTTTCATACAATCTTCCTTTTGTCTTTCTAATCAAAGCCAATTTAGATTCAAAGACAATTTTAGGATCATATTACTTTTGCTCAAATCTTCAATTGTCCGTTAAATCTGTCACTGAGTTTTGGTGGTTTATTGAAGAGATTGTTCTTTTTTCCCTCTAATTTCTATGAATTTTCTTTCTAAATGCCTGTGCAATACTTTATTTTACTTTGGATTTGGCACTCTGATTAATACTTATTTCAAACTCTAGCCTTCGCTGATGATTTTGTATCCTAGAATAAATTATGTCAGTTTAATTACAGATTCAGTTTATTTTCAATGTAAGGAATCACATATATTTATTTTTAATTTAGAGAATCCCAAAATGACAAATCATTTTCTATTAGACTTTGGATGTGATTTCTACTCAATTTTATTCTCTTCTGTAATTTTTTGATATGACATATCCAAATGTTATAACTTATTTATTTACATAGGTTATTATATTGGCTAAATCATAGAGTTTGCTAAATCTGAGATGTTTACAAGCACCTGAAACTTGTATGCCTTAAATCTGCAGTGTAAGAAAATAAATTTAAGCTATATTTCAAGTAATTTAAGAATATTAAAGTGTCAGATAATTATTATTATTTTGTATTAATCATTATGTTATTTTTTATTTAATAAGTATTACCCCTGACTGGCCAATGATTAATGAATTGTTAGCTCTTTGTAACCATTGCACTTTCATGCTATATATCTGATATTATATAACATAATATCAGTTATGAATTTTAATGCATGAAAGATTTTATTTGAAAGATGGAACTAAATTCTACTTTAAATTTTACAGGTGGCTAGAGTATAATATTTTTTCAATCCTAGAAAGTTCACTTACCTCCAATAAGAGTTACAATTTTTATTACAATTTTACTTGAAAGGTAAAATAAGAATTCCACAAAAAGACAATATAAACAGTCATATCTTGATTTAAGTGCACAAAATCCAAAGCATGTAGCAGTCACAATAACTGAGACAACTTAAGCCTATATATTGATTTTTTTTCCTACAAATTCAGTGTATCCTGGCTAATGATAAAGCTCAGTTTCTGTGAAATTATATGAAGAGATTTATCTGATAATACTCTGCCAACTTCCTGGAGAGAAACAAGCTGGAGGTGACAAGTGCCAATACACTATGGCATAAGCAGAGCTTACCTTAGATCTTGGCATTTCAGTTTTCAACACTGAGAGAAGCAGTCAGTCATTTCAACATCAGTCAGGTGGATATAGAGTGACTTCATGGAAAGTAACAAATTCATTAAATAGCTTGATAGCTCTTCTAGAAGCTTTTTCTGAAACAGGTGAGATAAAAGGGCTTTTAAAAATAAACTAACAAGTAAGTTGGACACGTTAAAATAAAGAAAACATGTTGGGGGCATGATTGATGAGACGCCTCAGAATGTTATCCGTGGGAAACTAAATGTAGATTAGACAAGTCACCAGAGCCTGAAGTTGCCAATTAAGGTAGCTAAATCCTCCGCCTTTAGAAAGGATCACGTGTAAGACAAACTTTATAATGCTGCAAAATTCAAAGTTGATTTTGCTTTTGGTTTTGGTTTTCTCTTGGTCAATAGCAGGGACACATGCATATATATATTTTAAATATAAAATAACAAGGTCATATGTACATTGAAGAGTAAAGCAATAAAATTATTCTGAATTCTATAATGTATTTGCTACAAAATATTACCTTCAAATATTTTATTTTTATTTTTCTTTAAAGCTTTGCTTTATTTTGTTAATAAATAAATAAACTATATAATAGATTGAAAGACAAAAAGAATAATGAATTGTTTTATTGTTCCACAGAGTCCATTTTTTCATGTGTATATTTCCCAGAATGTAGAATTGTAATAGTTAGAATAGAAATTCAAGAGATATACCATTGAATTTTTTAACTGTTTCATGATCCAAAGTATATTTGTGTGAAGGATGAGAGCAATGGAAAAATGAAACATTACATTTTGGCTACATTACATTTTCATTAAGTAATATTCAGTGACTT